TTTTTTTTGAGAGGGAGAAAGCGGGGAGGGGGAGAGGGAGAAAGCGGGGAGGAGGAGAGGGAGAGAGAGAATTTCAGGCAGGCTCCATGCCCAGCACAGAGTCCGATGCCGGGCTCCATCTCAGGACCGTGAGATCATGACCTGAGCCGAAATCAAGAGTTAGGACACAACCGACTGAGCCACCCAGATGTCCCAGAAATGTGGATACTTTCAAACTTAATGCAGGTAGGTGTCCGGTAAAGCCTTTTTTAAAGACTGATATTTGCAAACAAAATTAATTAAGACAGATAAAATAGGTATTGAATGTCCCATTAAAGGGCTCATATGAAGATCCTTTAATTTAAATAGAAGCTCTCCGTTCAATTAAAGCAATCTGATGTAAGGAAAATTTAAGAAGGCACATACTCACTGCCGAAGAAAGAACACCTAACAAAGTATTTTAAGTCCCCTAGTATTTCATAAGGTTTGAGACAATATTCCCCAAGGTGTCGTTTTTGAGATGTTCATTTCTTTAGCTAATAAGAAAGTGCCAGGTGTTCATGATGATATTATCACACTTGAGAAAAGCCTTTATCCTAGTTGACTAATAAGGACTTCTGCTTCCAGATAATTCTAAATCAGAAGGTAAGCATGCCCAGAACCACTTAATAACACATTAACTCATCTAAATGTTCACTCCTTCATTCTTAAGTAATCACATCTGTATATATGCTGAATAATTTGTAAAGGCTGACCTGGGAACTACAGGTTCTCATGTTCCATCACCCACAAGTAAGGGCTTTCCCATATTACAGGTCACCGTCGGGGACTGTATCTGTAAGAAAAGCCTACTGGAATGTCCTCTTCTGAATTCTTGGAGCTAGGTGCCCCTAGCCTTTCCTTAAAACATACCACCTTTCTCTGAGTGTTTTCAAGTCCCATTTTGGCCTAAAAAGTTCATTGATAAATACACAGATATAAATTCTGAAATTCAAGCAAAGAAACCAGAGATGATAAATAACAATATCAAGAAAATAGGAAATCACTAGAGAAACCAAAAGTCTGAGCTCCCCAAGGCCTTTTTTTATTGGAGCTGTAAATCGTATCAGCCAAAGGGGAACTTGGGGAGGTTTGCACACAATCAGGTCTAACCAAGCAGCAGCAATGGGAAGAAGTACAGATGCAGTGCCAACAATAGTTGGATGATTGCCACCATGAGTAACATTTGTCAAGCATTTGTATGACTTCGCTACACTACAAAGCAGCTCTGCTATATAGTTCACAACATTTCGGTTAATTATACTTCTATAAATAATCTACAGTCAAACAAAGGCAGCTGAAAGCTCAATTCATTTGGGGAAGAAACTGGTGCCCAAGCATGATGCAAATGGCCCAGGACCACCTCCCAACATTAAAAACCCCAATCAATATGTCTGACGACTGCAAAGGGGCTCCCATCAAAATGGGAAGTGACCTTCTTACTTCACTTAGAACATTTTCTAGTTTTGTTACTTTTAAATCATTCCTTCTCTCTTAATCCCCCTCCCAAATATCTCTGTCTTCCATGGGTCAACAATTAAACAATCTCTGATCTGGCTCCTCTCAGAGGAATGCTAATCTGTCGATTGTATTGTATACTTTCTGGAAACCGATCAAGGGAACCAGAAGAAAATGTGTTGCATTCAAACCTTTTGCCTAAATGGGTAGCCCTGCAGGGCTACAACTTTCAAAGCTGACACTGACAGCTCTACCAACACTGACGGCCTCACGGGTGCCAAACAGGATGTCCCTGCTAGGAAGTTCACGGACTAAAAATGTTATGTGGTGTCACAGCAAGCAACCCTGTGCCAAGATTCTTGGGCTGAGATTAACCGCTGAAAGACAACATGGGAAATGTGGCAAGTCCGTCCTCATGAAACCAGAGCTCACGGGGAGCACAGCGTTTTAACACTTCCACTTACAAGCCTTCGGGGGAGGAAGACTGGGATCATTACTGAAGATGTTAATAAAAGTCTCCATGTTATAACTCAGGGCTACAATGAAAATGACAGGAATCACAACCGAGGCAGAGACAGGGAGCGAAGTTCACCATCGAAGCCTTATCTGGAATTCGAAACAATCTAGCTTACTATTTTATGACGAGGATGAATCAAAGGGAAGCCCTCACCTGCCCTGTTCTATCTGCCTGGCAACGGCTGATGAGGGAGCACAAAAGGGAAACATCCAAACGGCGTGACACAGTAAGGAAGGAGACCTGGGAGGCACAGAACAAAGAGGAAGTGGAGGGGAAAATCCAACAGTAGCATGCTCCCTGAGTAGGCTGAGGACTTCAAGGTTTATTTCTTCGCTGATTCCCTTTCTCCCATATTGTAATCTGGTTTGACACACTTCAACTTATTTTCCCAATTCTAGGTGTCTCAAATACTTGAATGGGGTGGGGCGGGGGGAAGGAAGAAAAATCTCATTAACAAAAAACCTTCCCCTCAAAGTTTTATAAATGTACAACAATCTTGATTTCACAGAGAAGCCATTCAATTCCTGGCTCTCCTGCCAATGATTTTACTCTACAATAATAATCTTTAACATTTCCAATATGCTAGGGATTTTAAGTACATCATCTCATTCAATCATCAAGACAACTCTATGAGGTAGGCAGCAACCCAGCAAAGATGCAAGATCACACAACTAGCCTGTGGTGGAGCAAGGCATTAATGCCTGAGCCCCATCTTTAGCTTCTATCCCATCCTTAACCCTATACTTGGCACATGTGGAAAAGGTACTCTCTGTACAACAACACAGAGCTTGAGTTCTTCTACTTTACATCACATGTCCTTGGTATTTTAAAAGGTGACTTTTAAAATGAATCACCATACTAGCTTAGTAGACTGACTGTTCCTTAAGCACCAGTTGGGGTACATGCCTTGGGTTGGATGTAGATGAAGGGATAGAAGGGGCAGTGGTTAAAGCAATGACCTGGCTTAATCTTCTGTTAAAATTATACACAGAGAACTAACCTAACTCAAAGGCTGGCTCTCACAGGAAACAGGACCTAGAACAAGCTACAATTGATCAAAGAAGAGCAAGTTAGAATTTAAATCAAAGGGAATGCCTTTTCTTGATTTTTAGGGCAACTAGCTCACCCTTGTGGACAGAAAACTGCACAACCACCAATTTCCACCCACACCGCCTCATTAAAATACTGCACTGAAATTGGGGAAACTGATTCAGACCACTAGATAACCTTGATGATTTCAGAGTGAGCAAGCTTTCCAAACAGATCTACATTGCATAGATAATTACCTATCTAAATTGTGTTAGCAATCCTCTACCTGAAAATTTGTCAATATAATGTGGGAAGTCTCTGAAAGAGTCTTAAACTCAAATCAAATATAAAACCAAGGATTTGTTGAAAACAATGTAACAAGAGTCATTATTTATAAATGAGTTTCTCTTCTGCAGTAGAGTCAATTATAAAAGATTAAAGTAGCAATTTTTCAATCTGGGAGAAATCACCTAAACTCTTAACAAAACTGAACTACAGAAGTACTGACAGCAGTATTTATTTATTCTATAAATATTTACTGAGTACTTATAACAGGCACTATGCTAGACAATGGAAACACAGCAAATGACAGACTACTGCATTACTACACAAAGAATCAAAATACTGTTCTGCAACAGACCTGTAGCTACTTTAGACTGAGTGGCCAAAGAAGGCCATTGCAGAAGTCTGTAAACAATGCAAAGATCCATCGGTAGTAAAGAGCCCAAATGTGCACTTGTATATACAACAGTATACTAGGTAGGCACTGAAGCTCAGGTAGAGCCCTAAGTACCAATATGGAAGATGTACAACATAGACTACAAACTGGAGAAAGCAAGGAAGAACAGAATGTGTAGGAGTCTGTGTGTATAAATTTCTTACAGCAAATATTCAGATGTGGGTAAATGCACTGCAAACACCCCAAAATTGTTAACAGTGATTACTTTCAGGAAGAGGAATTTGGAGTGAGGAGATTCTATATTCCACTTCATGTATGTATATGTATGTGTACTCCTTTCATTTAAACACTGAAATTTCATTTTTAATACAGAAAGAAAAGCCAAATCAGTAATGACAGAACACATGGGCCTTCTATTCTTGATCTATCCAAAACTTAAAATTCTAACATACAGAATTAATATTCTGAAAAAATTGGGAAGGACATATCAAATTCATTCAACAAAGGGAATGAAAACTAGATCTTTTCCACCATTACTAATACTCAGATGTCCGTACCAGAGAGGAATGTTCAGATCTTTTTTAAGATTTATTTATTTATTTGAGAGTGTGTGTGTGCACACATGCCCAAGCATGCAAGTGGGAGGAGGGGCAGAGGGAGAGAATCCCCAAGCAGACTCCCTACTGAACACGGGGCCAGAAGAGGAAGCTCTATCCTACGACCCATGAGATCATGACCTGAGCCTACGCGAAGAGTCAGATGCTCAACCAACTGAGCCACCCAGGTGCCCCTAAATGTTCAGATCTTTCAAGCAGATTACTTAACTACTACAAATGTCCTGTGTGTTCATGTCCCTATATTTACTTAAAAAATAAAAATTTTAAAAAAGACCCCAATGACTCAAAAGTAAAGCATACTTCAAAAGACTGTTCCAAGACAAGTCTAATCACTGAGTGGCATTTTCCAGTCGGGGATAAAGACTACATTTCCAAAATTAACAAACCAAAATAGTATCTTCCCTCTATGAGGCAATTAGAATCGTATGCTTATAACAGGGAAGATGGTCAACAAATGAACCTAATTTTGAGTTTCTTACCTAATGCAGCATGATTTTCTTGTTCCTGACTCTTTCCCAAAGAGGCCATCATTTCTGAATATATATCAATCCACCAAGGATTATACTTCAAAACCTGTTCAACAGCCTCGTCTTCAAAAAAGTCAGCTCTGGAAAGAAAACAGTGAATGAGCATGTTACATAGAACTGGGCTAGTTTTGGTTTTTTAAAATTTTATCTTAACTCATCACATTTGTACTAGAAATACAGATTATTAACTCAAAGTACAGATCAAGGAAACGAGCACTGTATTTACTTTTTTGTGGTTACTAATCACCATAAAGTGAAAACTACGCATCTGACTAAAGGGATAGTTTCTGCTCTCTTCAGAAACAAGGTACAGAAAAGACCAGTCCTCCCCTGAAAGCTCATCCCATGTACGGCAGTGGCATGGGGTAAAGCAAATCTGAACACACAATGGACTGAAGCATGGAACCTGGGCTAGGTTTGTAAGTACCACCTATTCCGGTAAGGTTACAATAAAGGAAAGAAACTTTTAACTCCACCAAGCAAAGAAAAGTAAACATATCAACAGAAAACACAGGATACTGCATACCCACAAAAAGGCTACACATAAACACACATACACATTTTTTAGCATGTGCCTTCATACTTTCTACCAAGATGCAATTTCTTTCATAGCTCTGCTAACTTTAATAGTTCCTTTGCTTAAAACTATTGAAAAAGAAAAAAGCAACCTTTGTAAAGAACAGAAAATTAATTTTCCTGCACTTTATTTTCTCAGGTTTTTTTTTAAAACATTTTATTTATCTGAGAGCGAGCAAGAGAGAAAGCACGAGCGGGGGGGCGGGGGGGCCGAGGGAGAAGCAGACATCCCCCCCCTGAGCAGGGAGCCCAACACAGGGCTCGATCCTGCACTTTATTTTCTCAGGGTTTTTTAAAACATTTTATTTATTTGAGAGAGAGAGACAGCGAGCAAGAGAGTACGAGCAGGGGGCGGGGGGGGGGGGAGGGGCAGAGGGAGAAGCAGACTCCCCCCTGAGCAGGGAGCCCGACACAGGGCTCGATCCTGCACTTTATTTCCTCAGGTTTTTTTTAAACATTTTATTTATTTGAGAGAGAGAGAGAGAGAGCATGAGCGGAGGGAGGTGGGGAGAGGGGCACAGGGAGAAGCAGACTCCCCTCTGAGCAGGGAGCCCGAGATAGGGCTCGATCCCAGGATGCTGGGATCATGACCTGAGTCAAAGGCAGACGCTTAACCGACTGAGCCACCCAGGTGCCCCTACTTACTTAGTTTTAACTTGAAAAATAACTGTTACATTCAAATTATACTCCTGGAGGATATTCATTCAGAAATTACAACCCTGCATTCAAAGTTGAAAACTCTGTATTCATAGGAAGAGAGTGACAAAAACTCTGGGTGAAAAATTCATTTATATTTCAGTTAATTAGAAACTCAAGGAATTGGCTGATTTCATAAATTGATTTTCTAGCTGAAAGTTTTATGATCTGAAATATTTTTTCCTTCAACTGAGATAGTGAAATCTTTCTAAAAAGAAGTATCACAGGTAACTCACAGAATTCTCCATATGTGCCAAGCACTGCACTGAATGGTTTTCACCCATTATTTCCTTGAATCCTCACACCACCCCCAGGGGTAGGGGGAACTATTAATACTCCCATTTTATATCAGTAGAAACTCAGGGTCAGAAAATTTGTATAACATGGCCAAAGTCAAAGAACTGGTAAGAAGTATGGCCAGGATCTGGACCCAATTAAGTCTTACTCCAGAATCCAAGCTATTAACCAATATAAACATTCCATTTTTATGCCTGAGGAAATAAAAGTACATATTGGACAAAACTGAATAGCAATGATCTTGAAATAGTAATTCTCAATATCAATTTTGTCACGTGCATGAGAGAGATTTCAAAAAGATAAGTAATAGGAGTAAATGGATAAAATGCTAACTAAGTCAACAAAAAGCACTATACTCTTCGCCCCGCTCCAACTCCATTTTGGGCAGTGGGATTACACGGCTGACAAGACAGAGGCGGTCATGGTCCGTACGGAACTTACAGCGCCATGGGAGAGTCCAACAATCACAATGCAAGTGCTATGTAATTGCTATGACCTAACAGTACAAGCATCTATGGCAAAGTGAAACTGGGACAGCAGGGAAGGTGCCTGGAGAAAAGACTATCTAAGCCAATAGCCGATGATAATTAACAGTTAACTGGACTAAGAAGGGTGGGAGAGAGCATTCTGAGCTGAAAGAACAGTTAGCAAAGGCGAGGAAACAAGAAGTCGCAATTAAGGGGGAAAAAAAAAAAGCTGAGAACAGCTGAAAATATTATGTTGTAGTGACAACAACATTGTAAGCCATGTCAAAAAATCCTAGTGGATTTTTATCCCTAAAAACAACTGAACACTTAAAATCTTTTACATACGGGTCTGAAATTGGTGTGTCTTGGAATACCAGTGTCACTGCAGTCAGGAAATGGTCTAAAGGAACAAGCCTCAAGGCACAGGAATCATGGAGGCCTAGAAGAGGGTAGCAGCCATGGACATAGAGTGAAGTGGATGGATCTGACCTACAGCTAGAAGCTAGAATCCTTAGGATGCAGCGGTAAAGGGAGGACCAGAAAGAGACTGAGTAAAGCAAACAGTAAAGAGATAAATGGAAATTTTAATCACTTCAGGATAGATTAGAAGTGTTGGGGTAAGAAAGAAGTCAAAGATAAATCCCAGGTTTCTACTCTGGGTGACTGGCATGAAAAATGGTACACTCTGCCAAAGAGAAAATTCAGAAAAGACTTTGCAGGTAAAAACGATGAGCTCGATTTTGGACATGTTGCGATAGAGGAGTCGGTGAATACCCTGTCGCTCTCCAAACCCTTAACAATGTGGCTTTTCTTCAGAGCACTTCTCACAATCACAATATTGTCTGTTTCCCCACTAGAACAGGAGCCCCATGAGTGAAGGGACCTTGTCATATTCACTCTAATCCTCAGTGTCTGTGACACTACCTGGCATGCAGTTCATCCAAACAAGTATTTGTTGAACAAGCAAGGGCACATGTGAAAGAATGAATAGATGAAATTTTAATGCTTTTTCCTAAGCTTGCCATTTTGAATAAAGAGCCATGTCGGGAGCAGGTGACCCTCTTCCCCTACTTATAGTCTTCAGGCTCCTCAATCAATCCAAAAGCCTAATCAGTATACCAAACTAACAAATGTACAGTTACTGAAAAGTTCAAACAGCACCCCAAATGCTACTGATCATTTTTGTACCTTCTTATCTCACAGTATTTAGAGTGTTGACTAAATTCTTCTATTTTTCTCCCAAAGAAGGAAACAGGCAGATTTTATGAATTGGTTAAGGCAAAGGATATGCCAACAATTAAAAAACAATTTACCTGGGGAAGGAAAAAAAAACCACACTCTCGGCAAGAGAAATATGAAAACTCTGCTATGATAAGCAAAACAGGAAGGCCTATTAAACAATGTTTCAGGATGCCTTCGACAAACTGTAGTGTAAAAATAATAATATCCAAGAGGAGTTAGTTACAAATAGAGAAAAAAAGATAATCAAAAACAATACGTGTTTATGGATTATCTGTTATATGCCCAGTATTCTGCTGGGCTGCAAAACACACAGTGGGGAAAAACATCACACGATGGCATCTAGAATTTACAACAAAAGATTTAAAAAATAGTAAATTATCCTAAGTCATTTATATGTGCCTTTGAAATGTATGAATTTTTCTGTATGATGAATTAACCTCACTGTGTTCTGCCTTGGATGGATTTAAAATTGGTTTTCTCCAAGATCCCAAAAAACATGACACTATAAGGAAACATCATGACCAGTAGGGATTAAATCAAACAACTTGAAAGTGTCATATAGTACACACTAGCATATGTTATGCATTAATCGTGTTCATTACATTTTTGTACATAAATGTATAATATAATACATGCAATGCATTGCCTGCAAGGTAGGTAAAAAGTGAAGTAAACTTTTCTTCCACTGTATTAACCAATAAGAACAATTAAGCACTGAGCCAAAAAAAATTTAAATGAATATTTAAAAGAATTTTACTTACACTTCATTTATTATTAGCACATTTGGGTGAGTCAGTCAGCCAATATAAATGAGTAAGAAATAACACAAAAATGACAATTAGCCCAAGTCCCACTGCTACTGGAAAAGTCACAAAGAACCTTTACCTCATGGCTTCCACTCTCCGACCTGCCCATGACTAAATTTAAACCACTCCTTGAGAAATGGAAAGAACAGTTCATGCATACTATGAAAGAAAATGAGCTTCTGGATAAAGAAACACAGAAGATGGAGAAAAATAAGGACTGCATATAATATCGCACTGCTAAGTATAAATTCCAATTTCCTAATTCTCTCAGGCCATAGTTATTCTTCCAGTTTGAGAAGAGAAAAGATAGGCAGTTCTTCTAATTAAGCTCCCTCCCACTTGAAATTTTAGTCTTGTAAAGCTCATTCTGTTTTCATGCTGGCCCGAGAAATTTGCTGACAATGAAATTTCCCACTTTAAATATTCGGCATGATTTTAAATAGGTTTCTTCAAATTACTCTTCAATGGACCTTTAAAACCACAATTGGAGAGATAAAGGTAATTAGAAATGGCAATGTAAATGGAGCTGAATCTCTCAGATGTCCTCCAAAATATAACATACCCTGCTCTTACCCAGTTCCCCCCAGGACGTTGAATGGTTCGACCATTTATCACTACACATCACTCAATCCATTTGCACATCACAAGATATATTTCTGCCATTCCAATTAGTCTCCCACTGTGTCACAGGAGATAGAATGTTAATCACAAGAGCAACAGCAGTTAAACTGAAATAGTGTACATGAAAAGGAAATACAAAATAACAAATGGAAGGACTCTTTTCAAGTCCCAACCGAGCCACTTAGTAGTGGTATGACCTTGGGCAAGTCCCTTAACCTTCTTCCCCCAAATGTTGTGAACTGATTTAAATAATCACTTGAGAGCACTTGGTAAGCTGAAAGCACTATATAAAATAAGGGACTATGATGATTATATGCACATATAACAGTTTAGAAATTGTTGGCCCAGAGCTTGGGAAGAATAATAATTGAGGCCTATAACAACATACAACTCACATCCTAAGACAGTCTAGCATCCACAGAGGCCAGGTGACAATCCCTTACTTAGAAGAAGTGTTACTATCATGGCCAATGAGAGACATCACAATGTCTCAAGTGATTATTTACCTCTCCATTAACTAGATAAGTCTGTTAGGCAAATACAAGCCTGATAGAGATGCATTATGTCGAAAGACACAATTAAAGCAAATGGGAAATACAGCAAAACTTTAAAATTAGAATTTATTTATACCCTACCACAATGAATAATTATTTGTTAATTAGACTCAGATCTTCAATTACAGGTGCTCGCAGATCAAGTGTTGGGAAAACCCTGGATCAGCCAAGAAATGCAGTACATGTAGATTCAAATTCTTAAAGAAATTGAAACATCTTTTCATTTACATATACTGTTAATTACAACAAAAAGTCTACTGAAAAGAACTAAAAATATTCTCATGAATGTGGTGTTCTACTTTTAAGCCTGGCAAAGAAGTACATTAAGAGTTCTCCGTTGCCAGAATGACCTACTGAGAAGCACATCTTACAAAGATCACAGAGGCATAAGTTTGTAGGTTAATTCAAATGTCAGTTAAGGTTCTGAGCCCTCACTAATTTCTGGAATCCTAAAACCACATGCCTAGCATACTTAAAAAGACATCCAAAAATTTTCAAATCAATGTCAAGTCAATTATTTAATCCTCAAAAAACTCAATACTCACAGATAATGATCAGGATCAAATTTGGCCAGCTCAGCAGCCAGGCGTTTCTGCCTTCGTTCAGCTGCAGGAGTGAAATCTGGATCCTTAATATCAATAACATCACTCAATTCATCCTAAGAACACCCAGGAAAAAAAGAATAATTGATATCTCCCATTTCATCACTGAAAAATCTAATTTTACACAAAAGGCCAAAACAAAGGAACCATCTGATCATACTACCTGTGACATTTCGATTCAAATCCAGCAAATGTTTGTTAAACACCTATTGCTTGCCAGGCCCTGCTGGAAGCTTTCACATACATTATCTCATTTAATCCTTACAATAAAGTGATATTAGAACTATAAAAGTTCATCATAAAAGAAAACACAATAAACCCCGTGCAAGCAAGCAGGAACATTGAATTCATCTCTTCCCCATTTACTCATAGGAATTTGCAAGGTATTAACAGCATATTTAAATAATTTCTAGACAGTAAGATGGAGGTGCTCCTGCCACTTCAGCAAACAGAAATGTAGGTAACTTTTACGTGCCTGTAAATCTCTGCTTGACCAGAAATGTACTACATCCAGTCAGCCAATCTCCAGAGGCCAAGCTCACCTTGGGCGCTATACTTTCTTCCTTGTTCTCTCTCCCCCAAGACAAGGTGGATGATCTGGCCAATCAGATATTTCCTATCTTTCTCTCCCTTCTTCTTTATTCTTTATCCTATAAAAGCTTTCTGCCTTTGGTCCCATTTTGTAATTCTCTGAATGGAGACTGTTCACTTCCTGAAGTGTTAAATAAGTCTGTATCACTGAAAATTGTCTTCTTTTTCTTTTTTTTAAGATTTTATTTATTCATTTGAGAGAGAGACAAAGCACAAGCAGGGGCGAGAGGCAGAGAGAGAAGCAGACTCCCTGCTGAGCAGGGAGGCCAACATGGGGCTCGATCCCAAGACCTGGAGACCATGACCTGAGCTGAAGGCAGTCACTTAACCATCTGAGCCACCCAGGCACCCTGAAAATTGTCTTCTTTTAACAGGCAAAATGGTTTGAGTATCAGTGGTTTGAACATCTACACATAAAGTTTCCTTTTGTTTCTTCCTAAGGTCTAACTCAGCTGGTCTCAATAAGGATTACCAAATAAAACTTATATACAAAACTGTGTGCATTCTACTTTATAAGCAGATTTAAGATTTTTAAGGGCAATTTTAATGTATATGACTTTCCATTTCCAAATTTAAAAATCCTAAGTAATAGTCAACTTTACTATAAAAATCTTCACCTGGATGTACACAAACAGATTGTAGCATGTGTCCTAGGCCAACTCCTACAGAAAACAGGTAGAGTAGGAAAACTGTCTGGGATACCATACAGCTTTTTTCTTTTGGTTGGAATTATGAAGCCAAGAAACCTCACACAATGCATAATATTCCTGAAGCTACACCTTTTTTTTTACTTCAACCTCCCCATTCCAGTTACTGACCACAATTGAGAAGTATGGAATTAGAACCTTTCAACAGTATTAACTAAATTTCTTTAACTAAAAGAAATCATGGGAAATAACTTGACAGAGTGAAGTCAAACTGAAAACAAGATTTGTAAATGGAACAGACAGGTTAGTGCCTAATAATTGGGCTTAGAGTTGAGAGCTTTAAGGTAAACTCCCTATAAGGAAATGAGCTAAACTGAAGGAGCCAAGGACACTAGGATACACACTCCCCTGCTTCCCGCAACACACACACAATCAAAATTTGTGCCTTAAGGGAAAAAAAAAAAAACTCTCTTGTTCTACCACAATCCATTTAGCTCAAGTAGTATCAACGTTTAATCTAAGTATATTCTAATACTGCGAAAGGGTCCACAGAACTTTGCAGAAGTCACATCCAGAACATGTTAATACTTCTAACTACAAACATTCGAGGCAGAAACCTGATTACTGGTGGTCCCCAAATAAAATTTTACATTCCAAAAGTTCCTTTACAATCACTTTTGGGAAATTAAGAACGTATTTTCCTATAGAAATACTATTATAAATAGTAGTTACATGCTCATGGTAACCCACAAGTTTATTCAATTCATAATAAACTTTAAATAGAGTACTCTTAATACAAAGAGTTTAACAACCCCGCAGCAATGTTTCCGTGGGAAAATGCTTTCAGAGCTCCACTTTAATCCATCAGAAACATCTCTTCCCCAAGCAGGACAACCTGGACCCTTCCTCTCCTCCTTACTCTCGCCCGCCTGAAATTCCCTCCTCCAGGCACATAGCTGTGTGCTGACGTAGGCTCTTGGGGAAGAAGTCGAGTTGTACTGTATGCACAGGACTCACCTCAGCTAGATGACTACTACAGTCGTTTCCTGCCCACGGACCCCAAGTCCTTCTCCCCAGCACCCCTGAGTCACCCACTTCCTTTCCTCCTTGCCCCAAGGAGTTCTCTGCATGTACATACGTGTTGTACACACACACACACACACACACACACATTTCTGAAAGCAGCCTGATGCAGCAGAGAAACTGTGACTGTGCAGTCAGACAAAGACTGCTCCAGTCTAACTGCGCAGCCTCCCTGAACCTCAGCTTCCTTTCTGTGAACGTGTTTGGTCACACCTCCATCATGGGGCTGGGTAATACTCTCCTCTTGCTGCTGTAACAAGTTACTACAAATTTAGTGGCTTAACACAACACAAACGTATCCTCTTCTAATTCTGGTGCTCCGAGGTCCAGAGCCAGTGTCACTAGGCTAAAATGAGGGGAAGGCAGGGCTGGTTCCTTCTCAAGGTTCTAGGAAAGAATCCCTTGCTTTGCTTCTTCCATCTTGGAGGGTGGCTGCCTCATTCCTTGGCTGGTAGCCCCCCATGACAATGCCGTTCCTCCCTCGGCTTCCATCATCACACGGCCTTCTCTTTTTCCACTCTGACTCTCTTACCTCCTCCTTATAAGGACCCTGTGATTGGACAGGACCCACCAGGATCATGCTGGATCATCTTCCCATCACAAGATCCTTAAGTTAATCACACGTGCAAAGTCCCTTCTGCCACGTAACGTGACATGTTCCCATGCTCCAGGGACTGGCACACAGACATCTTGGGGAATGGGGTGGAAAGGAGCAAATTCATTCTGTCTACCACAGGCTGTGATGAGGATTAAATGAAATAATATATGAGTAAGGCATCAAGTACAGGGCTTGATACATTCAATAAAGTTAGCTGCTGTTCCCTGTTACTCCCTGGCTGCCTTCCTACTGAGAAGACCTATCCTCCCTCCCCTGCCATTTCCTTACTTGGCCACAGCAATAAAAAGAAAAAAATACGGATTAAAATGTGCTGCTTCATTATTTCACCCAGACCAGCTATAAGGTCACAAGTGGGATATAATCTGGGAGTTTCTATAGGTATCTCTACATTTCAAAGGATAAATGGACTAAAAGAACCACAGGCATTTCAAAATACTAACTGCACTGAGAAAAAACCCAGACTTTTTCCACAGCTCACAGCTCTGCACAATCCGGCCCCTGTCTTGCACTTCACCTTCACCTCCTACCTTCCCGTTCTGGCTCGAATCCCCCAAGCCACACAGCAGACTTCCTTCCATTTCTAGAACTCTGAGTCTTTGCATTTACAGTACACTTCTCAACCATTCAACACTCTGCAAATGTCACCTCCTCCAAGGGGCCTTCTCTGGGCATCCTCACCAAAGTAATACCGCCTTCCCCCGGCTCTCATGTCATCCTATCCTTTCCTTCACTTGTCACTATCTGAAATTATCTTATTTACTGTTTACATGGTTACTGTCTATCCCCCCCCACTAGAAGATTTCAGGAGGATAGGAGTCTGGTCAATCTTCTCCTCACTGTATCCCCAGCACTGTTCCTGGCCTTCAGTATTAAATCATTCATTCAGCAAATACTGTCCAAGGGCCTGCTCAGGGTACTAGAGATCCAGAAATAAACACAAAGACAAGGTTCCAGCTCTCAGGGGAATGGGAATTAGACAGTAAAAATGCAGCTATCCTTCCTCTCTCCCTCCTCTTCCCTCTTGCTTCCAGATTCAGGGCCTCCACATGTAGCTACGTAGCCTGTACCCCAACGAACATTAATGTCCACAGCAGTACAAGCCCTGCCAGACTCATCCTACGCACAGTCATACACAGTGGCCCTGTTCCAACTGGACCCTCGAGAGGCACTGGAACAAACTACAAAGCAAAGTTAGCCTGGGGTAGAGAAATCTGTCTACGGCATCCATCAACCAAAGGTAGAAAGATAAGAGGTTGGGAAATGTTCTGATTCTCTCTCTTTTCTAAAGCACTGCTATGGCCCCTGTTACGAGAGCCCTTTAAAGAGGGGTATTGCCAAGAAAAGGTCGTGTAGGATTTAAATCAGGCTTATGTTAAGTTTTGGCACAGCTGGGGCAGAGATTCTCCAGAGAGAAAATGAAGAGCTGTGAGCACATCTGGCCAGTAGATCTCCTGAAAACAAGATCTTGGGGCCCTGGGGGAAAGAAAGGGCCAACAAGCCAGCATCCTGTGGCTGCCAGCAGCAGTGGTCCCAGGAGCTTGCTGGGCTGGCGCCCGGAGACTCTAGGATTGTTGCTCCTGGCAGCCACCACTGCCCTAAAGCTTGCTGTGAAGGCCTGACTCTGAGCAGCCAGGGCAGTCTTCCAAAGGCGCCTGGCGGCTGGCAGCAATTTCAGAAAGGAAAGGAAAAAGGGCAGCAGGAGGCAGGAGATACGTTAAAAAGAATTTGTTTCAGTGAGAGAGAGAAAAAAAAAAAAACACTTTAATTTTCTTTTCATTACCAGTATGAAATACAGAAGTTTCCAAGCAAATGTAAATGGGAGGAGAAAAAAAATATGAAAGACTAAACCTCCCCATAAAGGGTTAAATTATTCAATTAAGAGAAGATACCTGGGTCTCGGAATTATGGAGGTTTCCCTTTCTTTATTCATCCATAATGAAAAAATTGAATGAATAAATTCATTCATCCATAATGAATTTATACGGCTTTTATCATCAGAGAAAATAAAGCTATTTTTTCACATAAGGGGGGGAAAACAGGCTGTAAAAAAAAATGAGCAAAATATGAGCCATCAACAAAACTTCATGGATATTTTCTCACCCAAAAGCAGAACGAGAGAAACTCTAAACTTGTGAGAAAAGAGTACTTGAGAAAATGGTGACGTTTCTTAAATACGTCATTTGAAAATAGAAGAGATGTTCTCAAATTTCTTAGTGCAGCAATCGTTTCAGTTTCTTCCAGTAGCTCCACTAGCAGAAAGAGAGTCATACCACTCAGTTTTTAACCACATGAGCACTCAGTTTTTAACCACACGGTCTGACTGTCACAAATAGAGCGGTCATAAATGCAGAAGAATTCTGTGAGGAATACCAAGTATATGAGATTTTTGTGCCACTATCTCATAAAACACATCTAACTGAATACCCCAGAGAAGGTGCACTCTGGTTCACATGATTTTTGAAACGTCTCGTATTTCCTAATGTCACGGGGGGAGTGAGGGAGAGCCTGGATGGCTCAGTCTGTTAAGCGGCCAGCTCTGATTTCGGCTCCTGGTCTCCTGCCCCGCCCCATGTCCAGCTCTGTGCTCAACGGGAAGTCTGCTTGAGATTCTTTCTCTCCCTGTACCTCTGCCCCTGCCCCCCTCCCCCGCACATGCACACACGCACTCTCTCTCACTCTCTCTCAAAAATAAAAATAAATCTTTCCTAATATCAGGAATGACACCATAGTCTTCTAATTTTATTCATGTAAGAAAATAGACTATTCTTTAAAGCCTACAGGTGTCTACCGGCTTGTCCACTGGTAAAAGGTACATAAATAACAGCAACAATACCAGGATGGAAGAGTCACGTGGAGCCCAGCACAGTGCCTGGCACAGGGATGTAGTCAGTAGCTGTTAGCTGACAATGCATGGACACTGGAGGTCCACATCTCTTACCCAGATCCCCTGGAGAGGGGTGAACTTCAGGATTCAGACTCAGGATTCAGACTCAGGATTCAGGATTCAAACTCAGAGTTTCAAAGAATAACATGGGATACATACATTCCACATTTTATTTAACCCCCTCTAAATCTGGGGCAGCCCCCCATATTCAAATACATTACTACTTCTATGGCAAAATTTGTGAATGTGCACACCAAGTGGATTTAAAAAACTACTGAAAGATACTGGTTCTGATCAGGTTTTGCCACCAAACTGAATACAAAACAAAAGTTTATTTCCAGAACTTTCTGTGATCCCAATCCTACAGACATGGGCTATGCACCTGTACTAGCAGCAGCATTACTAGTTACATCATCCCTCAGAGTGTTCTCACACGCGCAGATCTCTTTTTTTCTATGTTGAGGAAAATACGCTTTCAAACTGCTTAGAATAGCAATGTTATTTCAATTAAATTCTGAACAGTTTAAAGATTTTAGATAATCAAGTTAAATGCTGGGGAATAATAAACATCAAATTCAGTGGTTCACTTCTGAGGGGGAAACAATGACACAATCAGGGGCTCCAACTATGGAGATGTTTTACTTTTTAAGCTGGGTGATAAGTCTCTAGAGATTTGGTGCCTTGGTTAAGACATTCAGAAAGACAAAGAGTATTTCAAAATAATTTTTTTTAAATAAACCTAAATTACTTATTGAACATCTTCAACAGATATAAGAACTTGTGACTTAAAGGACTTGGCCTAGGCTCCCATTCTGGCATTCCGGCAGCTTCTCATCAAACCGGCAGAAATCCCTTGAAAGATCTTTCCTCAATGGCAGTGGCAAGAATTCAAGTTCCCTGGCCTCAGAAATGACATTCCATCTGAATGTACAATCTGTACTTAGCCTGCATGACTTGAATTATCATTAATTTAGAGCTTCAGACAGGTAAGCCCACAACTGACTGACCACAGAGTGGCTCTCGGCTAACCAACTGAGGTCCATTCACTGTAGTTTCTGCTGTAGACAAAACTGACTCTATTCTTACTACCTCAGAGATGACCAGCAAATGCGATTAGGAAGAAAGAATACGGAGAGACCGTAATTCAGTAGAAAAGCAAAAAAAAAAAGGTTCTGAAGGGAATATCTAATTGGCATTATTTGCTCAAGTAAATCCCAATTTTGTTCTCTTTAAGGAGTCTCAAGCGCATTTATATTTTTCAAGGGCAGAAGTCTTTCTAGCATCCTATTCTTTTTTTTTCAGTTTTCACAATGTAGTATCTCCTTAAGTTTTCTCAATGGCCTTACAAAGTAGGTGGGCAAATTTACCCCTATTTGACAAAGAGGAAACAAAACTTGTTTGTAGTCAAATAATTGTCCTGTCATCCCAAATCTAAACAACAGTAGAAGTGGGACTAAAACATAGGTAAACCGTTCCTTAGTAAATTCAAATATGTCTTACAATAAGCCACACTCTAGACAGATTTAACATCTCCCCAGGCAGGGATAAAGTAAAAAAAAAAAAAAAAAAAAGCTGTTTGTTGTGGTTTCTTTCACTTAGAAGCAAACAAAAAAACCCAAGTTAATGGTTCACACTTTCATTATATAACATTCTAAGGATGCATTTTCTATAACATAGGGACAAAACAGTTCAAAATCTCTTCTCTCCCTTTCATTCTCCCCACATAGCCTAAAATAAAGTAGAATTTCCTATGTGTTTTGAGGAAGAGAGAGTGATGTCATTCCTTTTTAGCCTAACTGACAAATGATCGGGTTTTAACAAGAGATTACATTCAACCCCCATCAAGAGTAAATAGACAAAAGTGCCTACTGTAAACCAAGAACTAAACAATTTGATCAAAAGACACAAATTCACCCTCACCAGGAACATGCTATCTCATTTATATTTATAAAACAGGAGCGACATCATGTAATAATTTTCATTTTTTAGAAGTATAAAACAAAGATTTCCAGGAAGTATGAGGAGAGAGGAGTTCCATTTTGTATTTTGGAAACTTCATGTCTAGAATACTGAATGAAGTGGAGAAAAAAGAAAGTAACAGGACATCTGACATCTGTAAGCGCAGTATGACCGGGCAGAACAGCCTAAGCAATGGAAAGGAACAAACATCTGTGTCACCACTGCATACAAGAAGCTGTGATTTGTGCTCTAAATACGTCACTTCCTACACTCGTCATAAAAAACCTCCAAATAGGAACAGAAATGAAATTAAAATGTCCAAATGGTAAAACCCTATGCACCAGGGTGTTTTAGAAAGACAAATACCTGTAACCGCTGAAACACTCCGGATCGCAAGTTTCCAAAGCCATAGTGGTACTGAGGATTCAGAGCACCTTCAGATGCCTCTTCATAGGGGGACTGTTCAATTTCCCAGTCGAATTCTCCATCCTCATCTTCTAGTCCTCCCTCAGAAACCTCAGATGCACCTGAATGTGTTAAATATTAATTTGTTCAAGTACTGGATTCCCTAGATACAATTTGGGAAAAAAAAGTACAGAGAAAAAATGCCTGCCCACGTGTACCAAAAGGGATATGTAAGAATATGCGGAGCCCCACTATTTTTAATGGCCAAAAAAAAATAGAACCCAAAGGCCCATCGATAGTTAAGATGCAAAAATGACAAATGCAATGAAAGCAAATAAACCTCAGCTATAGATGGATAAATCTCATAAAAATATGAAGTGAAAGAAGCCAGACAAAAAAGAACACATACCATCTGAATTACAGACACAATTTAAAAGTAGGCAAAACCAAAGGTAGTGGCAACCTTGAGAAGAGGGAGGGAGAAGTGACTAGGAGGAGGCTCAGGGTAGGATTCAAGGGTATTGGAAATGTTCCATCTCTTGACCTAGGTGGTGTTCATTTTATGTAACTCACTGAATTATAAACTTCTGATCTAAGCTCGAGAGGCCATGATTTTGCAAAACACTGAGATGCTGTTTTGATTGGTCCAAAAACATGACTGACATACTGGTTCAGTAAAGTTCTTTTTGTCTTTAAATTATATGTCACCAAATAAGCTATTTTGGCATTTTCATGTGATGTCCTTGTCACTGAAGATTTTCCTCCAATTTCCTATCTGCTATGTCCCTTTTCCCTAGGAACACACAGCATTCCAAATACTCTATTTATCTCTATTTCTTCTTAACTGCAATAAACATACCTATTTCTTCCACAAGTGCTTTTGCAGTCCTGGATTTTCTTGGTGCCAGAAGAGCAGTTAACATGTTCAGCCCCTCAAAATGCTGGCCAGGAGTTTCTTTGGGCAATCGAATGGTAAAAATTCCTTAAAGATAAATTTATTTTATACTTAGCTCTATTAAAAAATTCAAAGACTTCACAAATATATCTAAGAAATATGTATCTTAGTAAATTATAATTCTATTTCATAAGGCTCCAAAATTATGCCCTTATGAATAAAAACCAGGATAGTAAAAGGCTCAAATAGGGTTTTTCAGAATCACTGATTCAGCTGTCACCTCTATAAGAAATTAATCTGCTAAAGCTACAGAATGCTTTAGTCTTACACAGTATCCATTTAACCTACTGATAATATTAAAAGTCCATGTCAAAACCTCTAAAACTCAATGGACTGAGCAGGTAGTAGCTTAGAATTAGCCCATAGCCACTTACAAGATTTACTTCTGGACTAGAAGGGAAAAAAATCAGGATATCTAATCCAATGAATACCAGCAGTTTCAAAAACACACAAATTCTTAAAGCAATTATAGCTTAATTAAGTTCTCTGAGATCTCCAGAGACATACCCCCAAAGTCTAAGGTATACTCAAATTCTACCTATGTACTTCTTTTCTTTCCCTGATTGGGCTTATCAACTTCATCCAGACTCCCCCCATGAACTTCCATTATTTACTACTCTGAATTTTAAAACATTTTACCCTTTTCATTGTACTTAACCACACTCCCAATACAGTTGACCCTTGAACAACATGGGACTTAGGGCCTGTCCCCTGTACAGTCAAAAATCTGTATATAACCTGACTCCCCAAAAAGTTAACATCTAATAGCCTACTGTTAACTGGAAGCCTTATCAATAACACAGTTAACACATATTTTGTATGCTATATGTATTACATACTATGCTGTTATTATAATACAGAAAAAAGATGAGATACCACCTCACACCTGTCAAATGGCTAAAATTAACCACTCAGGAAACGGCAGATGTTGGCGAGGATGCGGAGATAGGGGAACCCTCTTACCCTGTTATGAGGAATGCAAGCTGATACAGCCACTCTGGAAAACAGTATGGAGGTTCCTCAAAAAGTTAAAAATAGGGGTGCCTGGGTGGCTCAGTTGTTAGGCGTCTGCCTTTGGCTCAGGTCATGATCCCAGGGTCCTGGGATCGAGCCCCGCATCGGGCTCCCTGCTCCGCGGGAGGCCTGCTTCTCCCTCTCCCACTCCCCCTGCTTGTGTTCCCTCTCTCGCTGTGTCTCTCTCTGTCAAATAAATAAAATCTTAAAAAAAAAAAAAAAAAGTTAAAAATAGAGCTACCCTATGACCCAGCAACTGCACTACTAGGTATTTACCCAAAAGATACAAATGTAGTGATTCGAAGGGGCACCTGCATGCCAATGTTTATAGCAGCAATGTCCACAACAGCCAAACTATGGAAAAAAGCCCACATGTCCATCAACAGATGAATGGTTAAAGAAGATGTGGTATATATATGCAATGGAATATTACTCAGACATCAAAAAAATGAAATCTTACTATTTGCAACGACCTGGATGGAACTAGAGGGTATTATGCTAAGTGAGATAAGTCAATCAGAGAAAGACAATGATCATATGGTTTCACTCATATGTGGAATTTAAGAAACAAAACAGAGAAGCATAGGGGAAGGGAGGAAAAAATAAGATAAAAACAGAGAGGGAGACAAACCATAAGAGACTCTTAACCATAGGAAACAAACTGAGGGTTGCTGGAGGGGAGGTGGGTGATGGGATAGGGTAACTGGATGATTGGCATTAAGGAGGGCACGTGATGTAATGAGCACTGGATGTTATATGCAACTGACAAATCACTAACTCTACATCTGAAACTAACGATACACTAATATGTTAATTAATTGAATTTAAATAAAATAAAATTTAAAAATAATAAAGAAAAGATAATGCTATTAAGAAAATCCTAAGAGAAAATACATTTACAGTATGGTACTATATTTATTGAAAAAAATCTGCATATAAGCGGACCTGCATAGTTCAAACCCATGTTATTTAGGGGTCAAGTGTAAATACAACCTTCCTAAACCCCTGGGTACTTTTAAAATTTAATAAATTTGTTTCAATATGCAACTTACCTGCAATTAAAAGCAGATTTACTACCTAGAAAGGCAGTTTCATTATATTTCACTATCACATTAATCACTGTGTTATGGGTTATAACTTTGTCATTTAACTCTTTCATGCCATCCTTCCTCCCTTACCCTAGTTTACTGACGTCAATAAATATTCACTTGATTAATTACTCAAGAGTATACGAGGTGTTCTTATTCCAGATCCATGGATAAAGGAAAATCCAGTGACTTCTCCAAAAGCAAAACAAATGATTTCAAGGCTAGCTGAAATGAAGAGCTTATCAATCATGAAAAGAAAACTCAGTTGGCCTTTAAATGCCACCTTTGGACAGTTTCTCTCCCACATACATGTTATTAGATTTTAAGTTTGAAAAGCACACAAGAAAAATTCCATTCAGAGCTTAAAAATCACCCACATCTTTTGTAATCAATCACCTCACATAATCTGACTTTTAAATGCTTACTAAAAGTAGTGGAATGGAGCGCCTGGGTGGCTCAGTCTGTTAAACCTCTGCATTCAGCTCAGGTCATGATCTCAGGGTCCTGGGATCAAGCCCCACATCCAGCTCCTTGCTCAGTGGGGAGCCTGCTTCTCCCTGTGCCCCTCCTCCTGCTTGTGCTCTCTCTCTCTCTGACAAATAAACATATAAAATACTTAAATAAAATAAAATAAAATAGGGGAAGTAGAAAATAAACTTAAGAAACAGAGTATTTAAGTAACTTTTAAAAATACTGTGAAGTACTTTAAAGGACTGAGAAAATTGTACCTGTTAAGAAATCCATGAATAATAGGCACTGGGCTTGTTAAGAAACAATAAAGTGTGACCAGGACAGACTGTATGTGCAAAACATCTAAAGGTCGCCATCATATCTTGAAGGATTATGACATAGTTATTCTAACATGAAGAATCCAAAGAAAAAACTAACAAAATTCCAAAAGCAATACCTTTATCTGTATCATAAGATCCTTGTTCACTTCCATTTTCCACAACTCTTCCAGGAAGGGTTAATCTGCAGATTTAAATTAAGATTTCATTCAGTCCTTAAAGCACAAAGTATAAGTGACCATCAGTGATAGTATACATTAACCACTGAAATCTATCAACCATTTTAGAAGGCAATTCTCCTCAGCATTTCTTTAACATTTTACAAACTAAATAACTTACATCTCTTCCCTAGCTGAGAAACAAGAAATCACAGATGACTCATCGTTCTGTTTGAAACTCCCTAGTCACCAATAAAAGCAATACTGAAAAAAAAGTGATACTTAAGAAAAAGCCACAATAAATATTAGTTATCACTACTGTTACAGTACTTTCATCTTCCTAATGAATAGAGACTTATTAATATAAATGTGCCTGACACAGCAGGGGCTCTAAGAAGGTGTGCTAATTGGCTCCTCCCCAGCCCATAAAAAGAATTTTAAAAATGGAAAACAATAAAGAACAACAAGGCCAACTGTTTATTTTGGGCAAACTACTACTTAAAAAAAAAAAAAAAAGCAAAAGTGTTTTTCTCAAGTCTCATTATTACTATACAGAGATTTCCCCTTCTTTCATACTAAAGGAACTGACTTCCCTGTTTCCAGTTTTACTTTGGTTCAGTCAGTCTTCCACTGAGGGCCCAAAAGAATTTTTCTAAAAAAGAAACCAGACCATCACTTTTCTTTTGAAAAAACTTCTATGGCTGCCTGACACCAAGTATATAAACTCATTGGTACCACCTATCAGACCAGCTCCCATTCCATTCCAAACTTAAAATGTGAGGCTCCTTTCCTCCTATAACCCCCTCCCTTCTGCTTCCTATTCTATCATCATCATCACCACCATCACCATCAAAACTTGGCAGGTCCCAAAGACCCAGGGCTTCACAACCTAGGTACCTTTGATCTTAAAGCTTCCTGCATTTCCAAACCAAAATCCCTCTAAGCCCAACAGAAGGAGTCAGTTTAATGCATAAAGTTGTTTAATGATGACAAACACTAACTTTACTATCAGAATCTGAATTGAGTCCCAGCTCTGCCATTTACCACCTCTGCAACTTTCTTTGTACAAGTTAATCAGCTTCAAAGCTCCTATTCCTCATTTGTAAAAAGGGAAAAGTAACAGACTCTACCCCAGGGTTACTGTGAGAAGGAAAGGATAATGCAAAGGGCTCAGTGGCTGGTGAAGTAGGTAAGTCCCAAAGATGTAAGCTATTAATACCAACTTTCTTTTCCTAAACTCTTTGTAAGTATAGAGATAAATTCTTACGCATAAGCGTGAAATCCTATTTGTTCACAGATCTGCCACCCAATTCCTCAAGGAGATGAGCGAGGTTTTATTCGCCTCTGGTATACTGTAGTGAACTGTATTTTCAAAGATGGCCTGTCTCACATCACTCCTCCCAACTGTGGGGTCTATGTCCTCTCCCCTTAAAACTGAGTGAGCTTGCAAGTGTCCATCAATAAATGAATGGATAAAGAAGATGTGGTGTGTATATATACAGTGGAATATTACTCAGCCATAGAAAAGAATGAAATCTTGCCACATGCAACAACATGGATGGATCTAGAGTATTATGCTAAGTGAAGTCAGAGAAAGACAAATAGCATATTTCACTCATATGTGGAATTTAAGAAACAAAACAAAGAGGGGGGAAAAGAGACAAATCAAAGAACAGACTTTTTTTTAAGATTTATTTATTTGAGAGAGAGAGCACAAGCGAGAGAGCAAGGGCAAGGTGGGGCAGAGGGAGACGGAGACAAGCGGACTCCCCAAAGAGCAGGGAGCCAGACTCAGGGCTTGATCCCAGAACCCTGAGAGCATGACCTGAGCCCAAATCAAGAGCCGGCCGACCAACGGACTGAGCCACCCAGGCACCCCTAAAGAAAAGACTCTTAACTACAGAGAACAAACTGATGGTTACCAGAGGGGAGGTGGGTGGGGGATGGATGACATAGGTGATGGGGATTAAAGAGTACATTTATCATGATGAGCACTAAGTAATGTACAGAATTGGTGAATCACATATACTGTAAACCTGAAATTAATATAACACTATATATTAAACATACTGGAATTAAAATAAAAATTAATTACTTTTTAAAAAAAATTGAGTGGCCTTGTGGAACTGTTTTAACCAATACAATAAAGTAGAAGTGACCGTATGATTTCTGAGGTTAGGTCATAAAAGGTGATATGAACCTGCCTTTCCCCCTGGAATACCTGGCTTTGAAACCTTCAGCTCCACCTGGGATTCCCAAAGGAATCACAACTAAAACATGCAAAGACACCACATAGGGAGGTCCTTAGAGTACACGAAAAGAGATGCCCTCCCCCTGCCACTCCACCATCTGATGGCCTGTCTCACATCACTCCTCCCAGCCACCATATGACTACAAATGATTTAAAGATCTCAAGTCAGAACAGACCAGCCCAGCCCAGCCCTTACCAAATTCCCGACACACAACCAGGACGAGGGAGTTAAATAATTGTTGTTTTATAATATTAAGTTCAATTGGTTATGCAGCAACAGATAACTGGAAAAGTAGGCCCTTCTAATAAATATCTACTGTTTATTGAACAATTGATTGCCTGGGCAATCACCAGGCATGGTAATAAAAACTATGCATGTATTATCTCAATCCTCACATCAACTCTTTAGGATCCCTAATATCAGTCCCATTTTACAAATTAGGAAACTGAGACTGAATAACTTGCCCTAAGTCCCAGAACTATTAAGTGTGCTGAGACCCAGGTGTGCCCAACTACCAAGCCCCTGTTACCCATGGATGAGTCCATGTGAAGAATACTCTTTAAATTGTTCCACACATAACCTCTTATTTGGTCTTCATCAAAACTCCCCAAATTAAGCAAAGTGGTTTTTACTTTGAAATTTCTGTTATTGTATTTTTTATTTTACATTCCTATCTCATTTAAGATCTTTTCTCTGAAATAGAGCTACCCTATGACCCAGCAATTGCACTACTGGGTATTTACCCTAAAGACACAGATGTAGTGAAAAGAAGGGCCATATGCACCCCAATGTTCATAGCGGCAATGTCCGCAATAGCCAAACTGTGGAAAGAGCCAAGATGCCCT